TATTTTTGAAGCCCAATTCCAGCAAATTAATAAACAATCCTATGCTCACACTGCAAGGCTTAATTGCCCATTTTGTCTAGGAGAGAGAAGAAACACTGTTACTTTGCTCTCCCTAAAAGAAGGTGCTCCCAAAGGATTCAGCAATGGACTGTCTTCTGCAGCCCTTGTATCCAGAGCAGGACTTATGGTCCTGCTCTCGTCACAATGACACCAGGGCTCTAGACCAGTGGTCTCCAACTTGCAGCCCTTTGCATGCCTTTATTCAACCCTCAGGCCTCCATTCCTCCCACTGACACCAACAATGGGGCATAATTCCTGTTACGGACAACAATGGGGCACTATCCCTTTCATTGATGGAGCACTATTCCTCCCACTGATACCAACAATGGGGCACTTTCTCCCACTAGCACCAATGATGGGACACTATTCCTTCCACTGCCACCGCAGATGGGGCACTACTCCTCCCACTGCCACCCATGATGGAATGGTGCACTATTCCTCTCACTGACACCAACAATTGTACACTATCTGTCCCCCTAATGGACAAGATGCACAGTTTACTCCCATTTACACCAGGGAAATTTCTAGTCCCAATGGCCACAAACCAGCACCCCTCCAAAGTCTGAAGGACAGTACATTGGCCCTTTGCTTAGAAGGTTTAGAGACCCCTGCTCTAGACCTCTGGAGTGTAGAAGCTGCAGGGGAGGAGGATCGTGTAAGTATATCTCCTTGTTCCCCCTAGACATAAACAAGCAATCAGTGTGCTGTAACCACTAGCAACCAATAAGTGGTAATGATGCACAGTAACCTATAGCAACCAATTGTAAGCAGTAATGATGTGCTGTAACCTCTCACAACTAATCAGTAAGTAATGTGCAGCAACCTCTAGCAAGCAATCAGTGAGGCTGGACCAGTTCTTTAATGTAATCCTAAAGTTTTTTATTTTATAAATCAGATTGTGTTTTTTGGGATGTTGGGGCACAGAGCAAAATTGCAGGGGAGGGGGGGTAAGAAAATTTTTGCTCAGGGTCCAATCAATATTAAAGATAGCTCCGGGTCCAGGCATGCTTTCCTGTTCAAAGACTGCACATGTAACAATGTAACAAAGGATGCTTTAACGGTCACAAAGGCAAACTTCAGCCATGAACCCAAAACAGATGAGGTATTAGAGTTGCATTGATCAATTGTCCATGCATCTATATATCAAAAGAAGCCTACTTCTCAATCCCAGTTTCAGAGACCAAAGTCTAGGTTAACACCCCAAGAGAGCAATCTGAGCCAATAAATGTCAACAAAGATGGCCACCACACTCCATTTATTATGTTCATGAACACCCATAGGAGGATAGTGGAGGCTAGGCCAACTTCTTTTTAGCACATTGGCCAATATGGTTTTCAATTTCTTTGTTTGTACTTTATTCAAAAAAATGGAACACAATTTTTCCATTTTTTGAATATCTTTACAAGAGGACTTTGAGGACAGAGCCAGAAAGGAGGTTATGATTGTGACCACTGTCATGGTAGCCATGTGATTGGAAATGTTTTCTAATTCCCCAATTTTATTTTTCATACTCGCCTTTAAAAAGTTGAATTTTTTACAACTTCCCTGAAGTTTCTCCACTTCCATATTTCTCACCCAGGTGAGATTGTGTTATTTGCAGACTTCTGGCGTTGAACATTATATATCCCAGAAGTATTCAGGCAACTCCAAGAGCACTTGGTGCACACTCGTGGATCTGGCAGTGTTTGCATGCTCTAGCAAGGATATGATACGGTTTACGCATTGTCATGGTATCAGTAACCTGGAAATAATACAATTCCTACAGCCAGAGTGCTGAATGCACAGGCAACGCCAATCCTGCGTTTTTGCACCCAGCACTCTACCCCCAAAATCATATTAAAAATTGTGTAAACAATATAACAATGCACTATAAAAAAACACAGAAAGACGCAAATGGCTAGTGCATTACTACCGTTAAAATGTATTGAATAAAATTCTGTTCATGTACTCCCAAAGATAGTAAGAAACAAGTGGATTAACTCTAGCGGTGAAGTAAGGCACCATGGATCACCATCTTTGTGATCCCTGTCAGGATGGTGATCCATGCTGGGGATAGCAAGTATGGTGATCCATGACAGTACACAGCCTGAAGATGTGATGATGCATTGGTGGCAGTTGGACACTGGTAGGAAGGGAAGCCCCTAGGTATGCTGAATGGGAGCGGCGTGTCCCCCTCTGGTATTTGCTGGCTATTGTTGAGGTGTGTGTGTTTCATTTTGTATATATTTTAATAAAAGCAGTCTTGCATGTTCTCATAATCGGACTGATGTTTAAAATAAAACAAACTCACCAATAACTGTGCTGTAAGTAACATTTACTAAAACTGTAAGGAAGAAATAATTTGTAACAGACATAAATAAAGAGCAATATGAGCTCCATAATGTGTACACCAAATGGCAGACATTATATACACATGACACAGTTACAATAAAACATTTCAAGTCACAATCTGGGCAGATGATGCCCATGTAGAATAAAACAGTAGAAAAAGTAACTGGCTGCAATAGTTTAAAATGCCCCTTGAAAAATAGTGGAAATGTTCTGAAGAATTATAAAAAGATATGTATTTTTCTCAATATTGCACTGAAACATAGTTGCATTATTTTTGCCCTGGATTACAGTTAATAACCCAGAACTTAAACCGAAACCGTACATTCTGGGCCCTCTTCATGTGTATGGTGGTAGTATATAAAGGCAGGGCCCCCGGCAAAAAAATTGGAGTTTTCCCCCCAAAGAGGGTAAACAAATATGAATACACTGGCTGTGGCCTCCCTTCCTATGCTGGTATAGAAGCACCACCATTACTGATATTAGCCTGATGTTCATTACAGAAGTCACCTGTGATAAACAGTATTTGTGTGATAGACAAATTAACCACTTCTGAAACCTATCTACAAAGCTGATCATAACAATGTGGTTGCCATAAATAAAAAAACACAAAAAACACACTTATGCAGGCCATAGACGGGCCGTTTATCGGCCGATAAACCATCGGTTGAATTTTTGGCCAATAAACAAAACATCGGTCGCCCCCGTTGCTGATGCTGCCACCAATGTCCACAAAAAACGGCCATTTTTCATGGATTTTCCAGCATGACCGATAAAAATAAATGTGAAGATCCACGAAAAACGGCCGATGGGCTGGCCCCACTAACGGCGTGAATATCGGCCAATTTTTTGTGCAGACGAAAATTCGTCCGATAAACGACCCATCTATGGCCTGCCTTAGGCTTGCATTAACTTTTTAAAGTGGACATTTTTATAAATTAAGACACCTGCCTCCTTTGCTCGCTACACAGGCAGGGGAAAAGAACCCACACTACGCTCTTACTGCAACCAAAGTTAGAGTGTCCTTACAAAGGTTCTCCTCCCCACCAAATCCATTATATTCAGCTTACCAGTACTGTCCTGCTACTCATCCCTCCTTCACAGCTGGTAATGCAGGCAGATGTCACCTCCCCATTAACAATGCTTGATTTAATAGCCAATCACTTTACCTGAGCACTGTCACATGACAACAATGCCTGTTTTTTATTGGCTCAGGTCATTTCAGTGTCAGCTGCAGAAGAGGAAGGAGAATCAAGGAAGTGTAGGTAGGGCAAACATAAGGGAATTGGGGGTCTTTTGCCGAGACCCTTTCACTGTTCCCAGAATGGGGAAGGTGACAATGTCTTTTCCTACTGAGTTTAAACCATAACTGGCAGTCACTTCGTTAGGCTAATGCTACATAGAAGATGTTCAGTACTTCTACTTTTTTTAGTTATTTGCTACTACAAGTGACTTTTTAGAACAGCCAGCTCCCTAAGCTGCACAAGTTAGCATGTAGTAGCAATCAATTCCTCATGACCACAATGTTCCAATCATGTGCAAAGGATAAAGATACTACCAAATTCCAGCAAGTGATTTAATCTCTCAGCACCATCTCTTAAATTGTCATGTACCTCTAATTTACAAAAACAGTAGCAAAAGCCATACAAATACCAAGCTTGGCTGCAGAACCACAGTGCAAGGAGCCCATGGCAGGTGTTCACATAACTAAAGCCTTCTGATCATGTGACTTCTGCTGAAGACCACAAGACTGGCCAATCCTCCCCCTTTCAAGCAGAGATCGCATGACAAAATGCTTAAGCATGGTCACATCACCACCGTGTGCTGCAGCAGTCCTTACGTCAAACAGGATAAATATTATATGCTTTCTGCTACTATTTATAAATGTTCAATTCTGGAAGGAAGAAGAGAAAAAAAAAAAAAATATATAAAAAAGGAGCTTCCACTGCTGACGGTTTTTAAAATTGGCAGTCATCTAGAATTCACCAACGGAGTCACTTGACCTGTAACAAGTAGGCAGCCAGTGGCATCTGAGCTCCTGTCCTGCATTATTGTTTCATGCACCGACTCATAGTGAAGGCTAAATGATAGCCGACACCAAAAACAAATGAGTATCAAGGGATTGGGGAACAATGTCTTGTTATAATGAGAGGTCATTTAAACACCATCTTTGATTGTACAAAGATGGCTACAGATTGTTTAATAGGCAACAGGTGAGCAGTTTGTGCGTAAAATAACAGTCACAAATCCAACTAAAAAATATATATATAACAAAATATGGAAAAATTCAAACTCCACAAGGAAAAATGGGAGGGAAGCTAGTTTGGTTTGGCAACCGTTTGCGAAACCATTAATAGAAAAAAGTTTGGATCCTCAGTCACAGCTAGTTTTTCAAATGAAATATAAATATACGACAGAATATTTAAAAACAAACAAACAATGTTAAAAGCACACATTTAAAAGGCCTTAAAAAAACAAAAATCATAGAACAAAAAAGAAAGAAGGAGATAGGGCAAACGGTAAAGTGCAGTAAAAACTAATAAACATCAAAAAGGTGTTTGAGGTTAGATGAGAATATCCTGATAGTGTTTACATATAATATATAAAAATCTCTAGCATATCCTGTTATCACTTGCTGGCAAAAAATTTTCTAGTTGGAAGATCAGGTCAACTGCAGCATTAACATCAGGAACAACATGGCCAGGTTCTACCAAGGCTGGGTCGATCCGGAAATCCCGGTGACCATGAAATACCGTTTCAGTAACTGACTGTGTGGGGTCAGCAGGCACTTCAGCGTGAGGATTGTAGATCCCAGTGCAAACCAGAACAGACTTACAGCGTGTGGCACTGGGACAGGACAGCTCACTTTCCCATGTTGCCTCTACATCCTGAGAAACTGTTGCGACTCGGGCTCTAGAGCCGGCCTGCAGTAGTGTCTTTGAGTCTTTTCTATTATTTCTCTCCTGGAGGTAGCGGTTGTAGTGATTAGCACCATAGATATCAGTCATTAGGTTGTCCCTGTAAAATAGGAAAACAAAATAAATATGTATAAATTAACCAAAAACATACTCTGACTGCAATTTCACAGATGTACTTTAGTTAGCTACTATACTTTACCAAAATACACTGAACCTGCATGGTTAGTGTCATGCTTGCTTAAAACACAGACAGTTTTTTATTTTTTTTTTAAGACTGGATGGGAAAAAGTTGCAGCTTTTGCCACATTGGTTTTGGTAAATCAACCCCAATCAGCTTCCAGGTTTTTTTTGCCAAAGCTTAACCTCTTGCCGACCGCGCATAGCCGAAAGACGGCTTCACCGCGGCCGGCCAGTTCTGAGTGGACGTCATATGACGTCCTCCCAGAACGCGCTCTCCTGCGCGCCCCAGGGGGCGCGCACCCGGCGATCTCCGTGATCGCTGTGTCCTACGGACACAGCTGATCACGTGATGTGGTGAAAGGCCGATCCCCCTACCGGCCTTTTACCACGTGATCAGCGGTGTCCAATGACACGCTGATCACAGGGAAATGCAAGTGCCGGTTCTCGGCTGCACTTTTCCTCACGCTGTCAGATCGTGAGGAAAGTACTGCCGAGAACCGGCAGTTGTCAGAGCGGGGATCGGCACCGATCATCAGGGCCCTGATGATCGGGCCCAGCAGTGACACCCGCAAGTTCCGCCCACTAGCCCCGCCCACCGAGATGCCCAGCAGTGCCCCCACCTGTGCCCAGCAGTGCACCCACCTGTGCCCAGCAGTGCCACCCACATGTGCCCACCAGTGCCACCCACATGTGCCCACCAGTGTGCCACCCACCTGTGCCCACCAGTGCCACCCTCCAAAGCACTGCACCATCAATGCCCACCCACCTGTGCCACCAGGTGCCACCCCCTGTGCCCACCAGTGCCACCCACCTGTGCCCACCAGTGCCCACCAGTGCCACCCACCAGTGCTGCCCACAGTGCTGCCAGTCAGTGCCACCAGTCAGTGCCCAGGGTTGTGCCAGTCAGTGCCGCCAGTCCGTGCCCAGAAATGATGCCAGTCAGTGCCGCCTATCAGTGCTGCATATCAGTGCCGCCTATCCGCGACCCCTAATTAGTGCTGTCCCATATCAGTGCCGCCTATCCGTGCCACCTCATTAGTACTGCCTATCAGTGCCCTTTTGAGGGGTGCCTATCAGTGCCCATCAACTGCTGCCTATCAGTGCCCCTATCAGTGCTGCCTATCAGTGCCCATCAGTGCTGCCTATCAGTGCCCATCAGTGCTGCCTATCAGTGCCCATCAGTGCCCATCAGTGCTGCCTATCAGTGCCCATCAGTGCTGCCTATCAGTGCCCATCAGTGCTGCCTATCAGTGCCCATCAGTGCCGCCTATCAGTGCCCATCAGTGCCGCCTCATCAACGCAAATCAGTGAAGGAGAAAAAATACCTGTTTGAAAAATTTTATAAAAGAAACAAATAAACTTTTTTTTTTTTTCAAATTTTTTGCACTTTTTTTAATTTATAGCGCAAAAAGTAAAGCGCTGCAGTGGCGATTAAATACCACCAAAAGAAAGCTCTATTTGTTTTCAAAAAATGATCAAAATTTCATATGGTACAATGTTGCATGACCGCGCAATTGTCAAAGTGCGGCAGCGCTGAAAGCTGAAAATTGGCCACTGGTAAAAAGGGGGTATAAGTGCCTGGTAGGCAAGTGGTTAATTGAATAAATATATATTTATTTATTTTTTTCACAGCGATGTTATATGCGCATGTGAATGAACCCTTCGATAAAATGCACTGGATGAAAAGGTTCATATTAACATAACCACCTATTAAATAACACAAACCTATTCATAGACATTTTGTGTACATATTCCCAAGCCATTACTGCACCTACAATAGCTACAGATAAAACATCATTACCCAACAGCATAGAGTGTCTGGACGGGCTTATTCCACTGCATCTCTGCTGCTTTGGTCCGGATGAGGTATTCTGCATAGTGGTAAGTCACTTCACTAGGCTTGCCCATTAAAGCCGCATACTTCAGCTCCTTCCCTGTAATCTTCTTATAGATGCTTTCAAGACAAACCATAAATATTCCATGACCAAACCTGAAAACAGACAAAAAAAAAAAAAAAAAGAAGAATCCATAAATAATCTGGCCGTTTGGATGCTCTGATTGACAGCATATTAAGAAAACCGTTGAATACAACAAAAAGCATCAGTGAACAGCTGCAGGCTGATGTACCCTAATGTGACACTAGAGGGAGCAGTTTCTTTATAAAACACATGCTCTGAGTTATGGCGAGGGGGGGGGGGGGATGGATTGATAAGCCCTCCAAACAATTTATACCCTTCTCACCATATGTTGTATGGTTATACTAGTCTGGATCGGTTGGATATGTAATTTGCATACTTAACATGGTCCAAGTTGTTCCTACCTTGGTGAGCGCGCCTCCGCCATCCACATCAAATCCATATTACATGCCAGCAATGGAATATGAGGGTAGCTGGTGAGTCGATGGGGGCTTGCAGGATAACCCCCTGTCAGCAATACATCAATAATTATCTGGAGATTGGTTTCCCATCGTATAGGTTCCCCAAACAGAATCACAGCTGTAAAACAAACACAAAAAGCAGCTTATAGCACCTGGCTCAATAATATTACTACTTTCAGGCTATTGGCCCTCTTCTCCCATATAAACCTACCAGATAGCTTTTCTGTATGGTCACATTTGATAGCCCCAGTGTTTCAGAATTAGACATTTGCAGGCATGTATTAAGCTTTGGAGTTTAAAATTGTTCATTCATAACATTCACAGCATATATGAACAGGCTGCCCAGTTTTTCTATACAGTTATGTGTCAAATAATGGTGCCAGCTACATTGTCATCTGACAACTCATCTAACAACTATCAATGTAAACTTTAGATCACCAAGTGGACTAAAATTCCAACTTTAAAGTCAACTGAAAGCATGAAAACCCTTCTGATTGGTATTTCAACCTTAAGGGCATTCACACCATGGTGCAAAGATGTCAGTTTTTCTGCACGTATTCTGCAAGGGCACAACAAATCAATTGTTCTCAATGTGCCCTGTTCACACCACACCACTAGTATCGCATGCAGATTGGTTTTCTGTGCCGGAATCTTCAAACGTGTATAAAATTCATTTAGGCATACATGAAAATGGATGCCTCTGCAAGTGAAATCTGCCTGTCAGTTTTTCTGCATGTATAGTGTGAACAAGGCCTTAAACATAAAAGGCCTCATTCGCATAGACGCAGCTATGAGAATATGTGCAGAAAAAACTGACATCTTTGCACCATGGTGTGAATGCTCATTCATAGACTCATTCGCAGCTCCTGTGTGCCAAGCTGCAAAATTCTCTGCCCGTTCTGGCACCCCAGTGGGCTGTATGTGCCATGTAGAGACACCAGTACAAGCAAATAGCTGTATGCAGCTGTGCTCAGGTAAATACCAACGGCTGCTGCATCAGCATTTACTTGTGCATGCATGTATGCCACTTCTTTCCAAATGCGAGAGATTTTAGGACTCGGCACACATAAGCTGCCAAGCATCCACATGTCTGAGGCCTAAAACAATATTCTAGCTGAGAACAGGAGGTGTACTGAGTGAAGAACATGAAATGAACTGTGGAAGAAGGAAAGAAGAAATAACTGCGCCTAAATGTGTTGGGATCTTCTTAGTGACGATACATAGCCTCATTTAACAAAACAGACCAAAACAAAAAAAAAAAACACAAAAAAAAAAAAAAAAAAAAAAAACACACAACCCCCCCCCCCCCCCAAAAAAAATACAAAAAAAAAAAAAAAAAAACCACCACAACCAACACACACAAAAAGGTAGAATCTACAAAGCACTGCTTGATGTTACACCAATCATTATCCCTGGGACATATTTATAAAGAAGTGCCTGACTTTTTGAATAATTCCCTTCCTTCAAAAAGAAGCCATTGAGGTCTTTCTGCTGTCACCCTTTCCCAGCTGTACACACAAACATGCACACCGGGCCGAACCAAGCGTGAATAATAATGCAAAAATATTTCCTGCAATCCCATCCACAAAATATTGTGCTGTGTAAATGTTTTTGACATGGAGTAAACAAAGAAAAAAAAAAAAACTCACACACACAAACATGCTTTTTGCTGTAGCAGACATAAGCAGAATATTATTTACCATCTATTTTTGGCAGATCCACAGCAGTTGACGGCTGTAAAAAAAAGGAACACAAAAACAAATGGGCTTTACAAATGACTTTAATCATTCAGAAAAACAAACACACAAGAAAAAAAATAAAAAATGTCACCTCTGCCCTAGCTTTTGATTCTTCTAGGAGGCACGGTCAGGTCACCGTGCCTCATAGGATAACTGGGTACTCTATAAACCATGAAAAGGCACTCTTGCAACATGTTGCAATTAATTCTCACAGGATTTTTTCAAGATCCCAGCCCTGCCTCTCCTAAAGGATTTTTTTTTAGCAATTCGTAGTGGTGGTGGAGGAAGGAGTTTGCCATGAGTCAAATGTTACCATAACAGCTCACAGGCTATACACAAGTGGAAGCACAAAACAATCTTGGCTTGCAGACAGGAAAGTTTAGCAAGCATTTAGATCTGCCTTTAGCTTCTACTTCAAATTTAAAGATTAATACCCATGATTCCTTGTTCTATTGGCGGACTAACCCACTAAGTGCTATGGAGAATTGGAACATTGTGACCCAATAAAACTTATGTGTTGCAATCTGGGCAAATCTTGACTGTTGCTAGCCCAAAAAGTCAGCCATCTGTGCAAGTTATCAAGCAAGGACGCTATTATCACTAACTTTTTAAATACAAGTGCGAAAAGTAAAGGCCACTGGTTTGGATAGTAAAGCGGTTTGTAGCTCTGTCCCTCCGGCTGGTGCTATCAGTGTGTCACAGTGACACAGGACAGAACACGACATTGAATATGAACAAATACATAGGTCATGGTGCACAAATCGAGCAAAAACTCCCATTTAAACTTGTTTATCAAAGCTATCAATAGTACTTATCCAGTATTCAATGTGCTTTCAGAACAAAGAAAGATTTTTTTACATTGGGAAAATGCCTTTGTAAGCAGTTTACTGCATATTTGATGAGCTCAATCACTGTACTATATCTATGAAGGAGCAGTGATATCACCCTAGCACAGGACAACAAACATCACCCTCTTCTTCATAACATAGGTGGGGGTGATCTGTAATCATCAGTGATAGCTCAGAGCAATGTAATTGATAACAATGCAGTGAAGGTAGACAGCAAGTGAGCAAGGAAGCAAATGGGAAACAATCCACTTCTAGCTTTCCCATATCTGAAAACTGCTGAAATTTCTGGAAGGCTGAACCTGTATTATTTTACAACTTGTCAAACTACATAAAATAATAAAAAAAAAAAAAAATACTCACTGAAATTTTAGGTCTTCGCCTGTGGTCCACCATATCGAGGAATGGATAGGACTCGCACACAGAGTCGACGGTAATAGGATTCGAAAATCCTAAACTGATTTCTTAGTTAAGGAAAAAAGTCACATGTGCCAATATAAAAAGGTACACTTATACTTTGGTTTGTACTTCTGAATGTAAAACTTGACTGTGGAATGTAATACTGCCCATTTCTCCCCCCCCCCCCCCAAGAAAGGGGAAAAAAACAAAACTGTGCCATACTGACTGCAGTTATAATAATTAGTGATACATTTTTCAGTTGACCCACATCAAACACACACGATTAAAATGTACCATCACTGCAGATACCAGACATCATTCGTGCTGCCTCCTCTAATTAAGCAGGGTGCCCAAGAGGAGCCTGAAACTATAATCATTCTTTGTAAATTTAACAAGAATGCTGAGGACCACCCCTAAAAGGTAATAGGTTGCAGTGGAGTCCCCCATTGCACTGTGGGATGTGGGTTTTTTTCTGGTAAAAAGCAAAAAGTTTCAAAATGGGGTGCCTTGCATTAACGTTTTTGGAAAAAAGACCCCACAGAGCTAGTGTGTGGTGCATACTATCTGCGGGTAACAAGTCATTTGGTAAATTGTCCTGAGTGACAGATGTGCTGTAAAACATTCCTCCGATAATAGTTTCCGATATGTAAGCTTCAAGACAACTATACTGCAAATATACAAATCATGTCAAAAGTGAAACATACCTACATTTAAAAGTGGGACATCAGATTAAGCCCTGGTTCACACCAGTGCAGCTTTGAAGTCGTGCTACTTTTGCGTGATTTCAAAGCAGACAATCACTTGTGACTTTAAAGTGCGATTTCATTGCGACTTGATTAAAACAAGATGTCAATGCAAGTCGCAATGGGGGGGGAGGAGCGCAGGAACCTTTTTCAAAGTCACTGCCACTTTGAATGGTTCATTTGCCGCAAGTGGGGTGCAACTTGTCATGTGACTTTAAACTGTCAAGTTGCATGACAAGATACCTGTGTAAACCAGGGCTAAGGCAAAAGCGCAATATACATGTGCAGGACACAATGATGTACATTATGTGCATATCATTTAGTTTGTGTCCAAGATCTGCCAAAAAAAAAAAAAAACCCTTGAGAATTTTTTTTTTTTTATCCCTACAAAACATTTTGTGAACATTTACGTCTACTACAAAGTGAAAGTGTGGACATAACTGGCAAAATTATCTGACACACACACCTATATCTATCTTACTGTATATTATACTGGCAATCTCTTTAGGTGCCTGCAGATGGCATCCAATTTCTCAGGACCCCAGAAAAACCAGAGACGTCCTGCCATACAAACAGCAACTACATGCATTGCCCCCTTCAAAACTCCACAGTTGCTGCTTGAGACCTCTTATTATTGCAAGTGGTCAATACGAAGATTTAGGAGGCAAACCAGACCAGGTAACCCATGTGAGAGGTTTCCAAACAATCAAAAAAAAAAAAAAAAAAAAAAAAAACCCACACGAAAAAAATTATAGTGCTATTTTTTTTTTTAAACCAAAATACTCAACTGAATTTAAAGATTTACTAGGCCTGGCACTTCCTTTCATAACACGAAAACAAGTTTACTGCCTTTGGCATGTACCAGCATATTGTGCGTTAACAGGGTTTACTTGTCATTGATTTGTTCAATTATTTACCAAGTTGAAAATCTTGAACTTTCTCTGGAACCCTTTAATGTGCGACCGAGACAGTACTATAGCTGTATTTACAAGCTCAGTGTACTATAAACAGAGATGAAATGACAAGGAATGATGTAATGGCACACAACATACAGGATACCGGATATAAAAAGGGTCATGGATTGGCTATATAACTACAGAATGTAACATTGGTCTTGATTTACAAGGTACTCCAAAGAACAAACTATCACCAATTGTACTTTTGGTCCTAAGAATAAATGTACAATAATTTACAGCAATCCGATATCAGCCAAAGCAGTCAGTATAACAAGATTGATCCAAGTTACCGCACTTACCGCATGGAGACACTCCATGAAGACGTCGATGACAAAACCCGTAGGGTGGCGCTTCAGACTAACGTCACTACATTCTGTAAGAGGCTGGCGTGTTCGGCTTTCTGTGATTTTAATGAAATGTGTTTGTTGCTAGTGTCGGCTATGACACTGTTCCATGTGAGTGGATGATGAGTTTTTACGAATAAACGTGTCGTACGGTATCACACGATCGTTTTGCTTGTTTTTTTCTCTCTTTTCCGAGCCTGTGCACGAAGTTCTTGGAATTCGGTTTGGAAGTTTTCGCTGCCGAGTTATAGATCCGCAGAGCATTGCTCCCAAAGAGGATAAATAATTGTCTGGATATCTGGTTCTCCCCGACCTGTAGAATACTACATCAACAAGCTGAGAGAGGAATAATTTGAAAAGCTGGTCACCGCTGAGTCTGCCTGCAAAGTATTGCTCCCAGAGCAAAAGTGCAATTGCTGGTTTAGAATTTAACTGGCAATTTGCTCTGGTGAGTTTATTCATTTCTGTTGGTGGTGGATTTGCACAAATCTGTTTTTGTGGTGATGGACAGAGAAAATCCTTAAAGACTTTTTTTGGTCCCATAAAATATATTTTTTCACGGTTTAATTTTATCACTATTTAATTTGTACATTTAATTTGATAGCGTTACCTTTTTTTGTTTTATTTTTTTAATATTTGCATACATAATGGAATTATTCCTTAGATATGCTGGCCTGGGATGCCCCATATGTTTACAGCATCAGTCACCCATTTTTTTTTTACCTCAATTGAATGAGCCCTGTTGCTAATATAGAGGGACTATGAGGTTTTCTATATACCCAAATCTGAGCTTTGGATATGAATTTTATTGCAAAGTCACGTATTATTCAGACTGGACCAGTGTAAGTACGCATATGTCGTAGTCGCCACACTGCCACTACAGCTCATCCAAATCAGAGAACGTTTTGCATTTATTGTGAAAAATGAGGTGTTCTCTGAATGGGGCTCGTGCTGAGCGAGAGGGCCTCTGTGGTTAGCATGGCAGCCACTCACCACTAGAACTGGAAGACAGCAGCAATCAATGTAGTAACAGCAACTACACAGTGAATTTACACATCCACAGTGGTCTCACGGATATGGCATGTGCAAACGTACGTTGGTTCAAGCTTGATCAAGTAAGTATGCAGTAAAATCCATTCACAGATTTCATCTTTAAAAGATCAAATATACTCCAAACAAATATCAGCAGAATGTTGATGCTCTACTGTTCTAATTTCCTCCCAAACAATTTGGGAGCCTTCCACTCAAACATCTCTTGCAGAGTCGCCAAGAAAAACAAAAAAGTCCACTTGAGCCTATCTGCAGAGGTATGGGCAAGCTCAACAACCTTATGTTCATTCGTTTTTATAAAAGATGAGAATGATCAGCAGAAAATGGTAGGAAGCAATGTAATAGAAAAGGATACTATTTTGCTATATCTAGAACTGGGCCTTGTCCAGATACCAAGATGCACTTATCGTGATATTGTCTGAAGATACGCAGTGGACTGTGTGACATCATCACACTGGTCCTGTGAAATCTGGTAGAATAGAAAGTAAAAATAGAAGAAATGTTATCAGAACATCGGGATACATTTATTCACTGTATACAGATCTCAGTCTCAAAGAAACAAGAGTCCCCCTTCTGATAACATACAAGCTTACAAACCTATGGAAAGTCCTGATCACTGAGAAAGGATGTTTAAATAGCCTAGTTTAAAATGATGAAAGTTTAAGGCAGGGTTTAGATCTGTGTGTAATGCACATAGATTAACGCAAGCCAACATGCCACGTGTTAAGGCAGCAGGAAGCCTCATCCATTATTAATGGACTACCAACACACCTAATTACGACCAAAACTGTACCTGATCTTTGGGAGTGCAAGACACAGTCAAGCTTTGTGGCCCTTCTGTGGCTCAGGTTCATTACTTTAGTGCATTGGGTACTATTTAAAAGGATCAGTTCACCCTTTGGGAAAAAAATGCACATTTTTGCAGGGGGAAAAAACAAAATTGTGCATTTATTTTTTCCGTAAGGAGCCTGGAAAGCATTGCATTCATGATCAGGGGTGGCATGCCAGACTCCTGCAGACAAGCCATGCAGCTTTCAGCCCATAGTTTCATACGGGATGACGGTTTACAAGCTGCAGGGCTTGTGCATGAACTACAAGGATGCTCAACAGCGACCTCACATTCAGAACTACAAGCAGTCAGCCACAATGGCTGACAGTAGTTGTGATTCATGCATTCACAGGTAACTGAAGGACTTGGCCATGTAGGTGGATCTCTGCATGCCTGCATTATTTTCAAGCGGCAACAGCGTGCATGGGGAGAAGAGCGCCTGCTTGCTGTCACTTTGGGGGGGGGGGGGGTAGAAGGTTATTGAGAGGCTGCAGCTGCTAGAATATGTTAAATTTTCCCCATATATACGAGTGGAACATGCAACATGTTCCAAAAGGTAAACTGATCCTTTAAAATGATTGGCGCTCAGTACAGCAGCAGGAATCCATTGCCTTACAGCATTTAGAAGTAGAATATTGTGTCCCATTACCAATTAAAGAATCCCACTTGCAGACAAGCTCTACCCCTTATATGTCTACTGATAATATGGAGAAGTCCCTAGAGGTTTCCATTGCTGTATTCCTTCCGAGAAAAAAAAAAAAAAAATTTTTTAGGTTTTGAAGCCAAATATACAGCAAATAAAGTCAGAGTGACGTCGGTATTACATCTAACAGCCAAGCCTGAGCAAATACATTAGCATGACAGCTCAGCAACTAGCATTTTCAAAAAAACAATGGCAGCCTCTATGTTCTCTAAGCAACAACTTCCTTTAAATAGGATAAATTAATTGCAACAAGCACACCCTACCTCCCATTTGTCAGCAAAGGGGGGGGGGGGGGGGGGGGGTAAAAATACTCACTGGCACTCCAAGTATATTGGATAGCTGGTCAGCTTTAGTCTGACGAAGGCAGTTTCCAGCATTTGTGACAAAGACGACTGGCATCAAGAACTGGCCGTTGTTATCCACCAATTTCTG